AGCGCGGGGGGCGCGACCCAGGGCCCGGCCCGCGTGGCTGAACCGGGGCGTGAGAGGGCCGCTGGGCCGCAGTCACTGCGGTCCAGACGGGCAGCCAGGCTGGGCGGGCTGGGCACAGGAGGCGGGCCGAGACTCTCCGCAGCAGAGCTGACTCTGCTCCCACTGCAAGTCTCCCGCCCGAGCCCCTTGACAGCAGGGGGCCAGTACACACCTCTGTCCCGGGTCCCGGACCCAAGCAGCCGAGTGGCGCAGCCCGGCCCAGCCCAGCGCCAGGCCTCCTGCAGGCTCAGCAGGGAGAAGCTTCTTGCGAGATGTTTTTCCCCAGATCTTCAGCTTGTGGTTTTCTGTTTGTCTCAGGGCTTTCTTCTAGCAGTACAGTGCTGGTTTTAGCACAGTCACCCCGCCTGGGTTATTAATATTTGCATCGTCAAGAATTGCACTCACTTCTATAATGTAATAGGAAATATCGATGGAAAGTCGTAACCCAAGATTAGTCAGAGTAGGTGTTCTTAGCAGCCTCAGTGCTCAGCAGGATGAATGTGCTGAGTGTTGACACATTTCTGTATACTAATTTCCAAACGCAATATTTCTAGACAATTTCCGCGCCTGCCGGCCCCGGCTGAGCCCGCGCTCGGTCGGGGGTCGCGGGTGTGCGGGCGGGGCGGAGCTCGGGGCGCGGCCTGGGATCAGAGGCCAACCTTGAAATTCCCGCCGGAGCGGGTCCCCGCTGGCTGGGCCCATGGCAGCCGGCACAGCCGGGCCGTACTGGGACAGTCCGGCGGGCGGGACGGAGGACTGTTTGGAGGGAACAGCCTGTGGGGGGAGTTCCAGCGTCCTCGACCTGCTGCGTCCGGAAAGACCCCCCACGTCTGCGGAGTCTGTCTCCTCCCGTGATTAACGCTGCCTTGGCCCAGTGGGGCGGCGGTTTGCAGGGTCGCCGCGCCTTGGGGCCTTGGCAGCCAGCGAGGGGGTATCTGTGGGGCTCTGGCGTAGTGAGGCCCCCACACAGAAGCGTGTGACCCCATCTCTCCTGTCAGCCCCACAGCAATACTGCCTTTAAAAGCTTCTTCCCAAGGAGAAGACGTTCATTGGTTAATTAACACATCGATTCACTACTTAATTTCTTCGGCCATGTGTCCGATAAGTATGTCATTTAGAAGGCACACTAAGTAAGTTTCTTTCTGCCAGTCACAAACTTTATCTTTCTCTGTTGCCATCCAGCCTCTTTATCTGGAATCCTGATAAAGGTTATTATTTATATAGGTTATTTTATAGATAACAGTCAGTCCACCAATCAACCAATTAACCAACCAGTCAGGCCAGTTAATATGTATCGATGTCCCTGTGCCCCTGCCAGTCACTGATTCTGCTGCTGGGCCAGCGTCTCTGGCAGACTGGTGCTTCAGGGCCCGGACTGAGAAAGGTTCTGACCCGGGTGGGTCTGAGAGAGGGGAGGCTGGGCTCTGTCCCACTTCAACTCTGCAGCTCTGTAGTGTGATACTACTTCCTATTTTACCTTTTTGGGGGACTGGAGAAAGTGCAGAAAAAGGCTAAAATTTAATTTCCGCTTTGAAGTCAAAATGAAACCCTTTTTTTTTTGCTATAAAAACTAATGGCGCTCGGTGTTCGGTCTGTGAGATCACTTCATCCGCTGCCGTGGTTAAGACCTCAAGGTGAGTTTTAAGTAGCTTAACAGACAAGAAGCTATTGCTGTTATTGATCCTTTATTACTTTGGCATTATTTTTATGTAATATTGCTTTGTTGCTTTAACTGTTGTATAGTAAGATCGTATTATTGCTGTGATAAGACACAGCGGTGGCTTCGGTGAATGTGAACCTAACCTATTCACCTCCAATCCTGCCAGTCTTTCGGGTTCCTTATCAGTTCTGGTTTTTAGCACAGATCTTGAAAAGCAGAGCCTCACTCTGTACCTTTCGACAGCGGTATGCAGGGACTGTCTGCCTTCAGACGTAGGCATTCAGACGAGTCTTTCTTTCACCAGAATAAATATACGCAAACTAGTCCACACTCGGAGCTTATTTTAGTCTGCCTCAGTCAGTGTGTCATATTTCTTTCGAGAGGATCTCGAGGTCTTTTTGGCGCTTGTCCGAGATGCCGAGAGAGCTGATCGGCAGCGTGTTCGGAGAGACGTTTGGGCTCGCGGTCAGTGTCCAGGAGCAGCTGACCACCAAGCTGGAGACTGTACTGTGCTGGCTGTGCCCTGGATCTGGAATTGTTCAGATCGTGAGAGCACCATAATCACATGATGATTCATCCTAGAAATAATTAAATGTAGTTTAACAGATATGTGAGCAATCGGCTTTCTTTGTGCATCGGATTTCCAGTAATATATGGTTATAGCTGTAGGACTGGAGGATCGTAGGTGAAGTAGAATTGGTGAAAACGTGAAGAAGTAGGTCTGGCTTTGTTTTTTTAAATATATTTCCTCTGAGATTCTTCTGTTTGTAAAGCTGTCTGTAGTGGTTCCTCACTGTACTTGCCATGTGGAGGCCAAGCAGTCAAATAGTCCACCAGTGGAATAATAGTCCAATCCTGCCCAAGCCACAGGAGGCGTTTTGACCTTGAGTGTGACACACGGCCCTGTTTCACTTTGAGGGCGCATTTGAGAGTTTCGGCATCTTCTCCTCTCCCCGTCTCTTGTCTCCTGGTTTTAAGGGGGCGCGGGCCGTGACCCCCGGCGGACTTGGCCGCGGATCGAGGCCGCGCGATGTCCGTGGGCAGGCCGAGGGGTCCCTCGCTCGGGAAGCCCCCCGCCCGCCTCTGTCGGCCGGGACCAGGGTGGGCCGAGTTTCAGGGTCGCGCTCCTGCCCCCTGAACCAGCAGCTCCCTGCCGCCCAGACGCGTGACACACGCGGCAGGGAAGAGGCCTGGCCGAGAAATCAACACAGCAGCCCGGCCGGGCCGGACACACGCAACAGCAGCATCCCTTGTGAGCAGCTGCGCAACATGACACGAGCTTTCTGTCCTTGGAAAAAATGGGATTTTCTATCTCAAAGTTCGATCTTCTGACTTCCTGCAGCTGGATAGGTTAGAAGCGCATTGTTTTTCATTCTCTTGAATGAAACATCGCCCTAGCAAATTGATGGCTCTGTTTTTAACTGCTTGAGATTAAAAAGCAATTCACAGCAGTTGTCTAAATTCTTATTGTATCATAGCTTTCGTGTGTTTTTTAGCTCTTCATTTCCACTCATTCGTTATGTCATGTCCTCCCTTTTAGACTTTTAGCAGGTCTACATTAATGTGCCTGTTTTCTCTCTTGCTGTAGTTAGCTGTAGGACTGTTGTCTGTCCTTTGCTGAAGCAGCCCGCTGCTGTATGTGCCTGGCGGTTTAAGGCAAGGCGTTAATGTTTTCAGAACCTGTTTATTTCTTCCGTCTGTTCTCAGACCTGTTCCCTAGCAAGCTGAACCTTGTGTTGCAGAAGTGTGTTGCCAGTTATTTATAGAAATCTCCTTTCCTAGCTTCATTTTCCACACCTGGTTGAAGGTCCTGTGAGATGCGGTTCATGCTAATATCAGTGTGACCATGACATGAGACTCCTTGTAAACTGGTGCACTGAGAGGCAGGGTGGAATTTCTGAATTGCCCTTAAACAGAATTGCAATAGTTTTTGCAATAAGCTTTACACCTTTGCTAAACCGAGAACTGTACCTTAATTACTCAGCAGGAAAAGACAAGCAGCAGCAACAATAATTTTATGAAGTTTATAAGTGTGCTTATTCTCAGTGTTCACTGACGTCTGTTGGTTGCAGATACCAAAGTGACTATTTAGTTTTTGTTAATGATAAATCTTATACAAAACTCAGTTTGCCCCTTCCTGGCCAGTACAGATAGCATTGATTAGCTGTAATCACTGTAATAGCAGTTGGCTGGCCGTTATTACATGTATACTGTGAACAGACAAACACCACAGCTTGTCTCAGAAGATCTCCTTATTTTTTAGGGTAATCTCTTTCAGTTCAGGACAATGTTGAAATCCAACCCTGTCTAGTCACATGGAATAGTTTGATATTTGTGCTGGGCACTTGCTATATATGAACAGAATACATTTCTTGTGGGACTAATGTAGTGGTAAGGAAAGGGCACACTTACCACTTTGATTCATATACTGTACGGATCTATACTTGTGTATTGTATGTCTCTAATGACAAGCCTTAAAATAAAGCCTTACTAGATCAAACGGACATTACTCCAAACTAAACTGGTTTGAGCAAAGTGCTAATTAAAATAAATATATTTTTTCAAGGCCGGGCACATTTCCAGCTTGTTCATTTTCTTCTCACTTTTACAAAAAAAAATGATTCTACAAAATGCAAAATGAGTGTTAAACCTGACTGTATGGGCACTTGTTAGAAGGCAGAGGAGTTTTGCATCATTAGTTAAATGATTTATAAAAACATCTGTTGTGTAAATGTTTGTTTGTTTTTCGAACAGACTATACTGCTGCCTAGTAAAATCAAAAAGATGTAAAATGAATAGCTAAATAATTTCTTATTGCTGTATTTTGTCAACATTATGAAAAACATGTATTTCAAAAATAGAATATTGTTTCTCTCTTCTGTTAATTATCAAAAAGTTATCACTACGTGCCCTTATTCTGGGGCATGATTTAATTACTGTTCTTCTGTGTTTATCTTTTACTAATTGTATTTTTACTTACATGTAATTTTCGATTTAAGTTAATGAAGCAGGGCAAGGGAGGTCCTTAAACTAGACTTGTTATTTACTTGTTTTCTAAATGACTTAAATTGACCTCATTCTGAACATTGTGGAGATATTTATGTTACCTTTGTTTTTGAAGAGAAAGTGCAGAACATGATATTAATTCTGGAGGTTCTGAGGGAGAGCTGCTTTGGTTTCTGAGA